CCCCCCCCCCCCCTCGGGGGGCCCCTGCCCCCGTGGCCCCCCCCCGGGGTGGGACATCCCCCAGCAGCTGGGGGGAAGCGCTGTCCCGGGGAGCCCGGGAAGGGGGGGTGTCCCCTGCCCCAGCCACCCCGGGGCTGGGGGATCCCCTGCCCCTATCACCCTGGGGCTGGGGGTCCCCTGCCCTGGTTACCCCAGGGGATGGGGTGCGCCTCCTCCAGTCACCCTGGGGACGGGGATGTCCCTACCCCGCTCACCTCGGGGGTGGTCACTCGGGAGAAAGGGGGATCCCCTGCCCATGTCGCCCCGGCGCTGGGGTAACCCCTGCCCTGAGCTCAACACCGCTGCTGGCTGGGGGCCTGTGGGCTGGGCTCCCTGGGCCTGGCCCCGCTGGGTTTTTGGCAGCCCTCCCTTGTCCCAGCAGCAGGCTGTTTGTCTCCTTTTCTTGCCAGCTTTCTTCCCTGCCTGCTTCGCGCGCCGATCGCTCAGCCGCCAGGGTCCGGGCCGTCCTCCATCCTGCAGGGACCCCTGGCAGATTCACACCTTAAAGCTTGCCCTCACTGACTGCTCCAACCCCTTTCAGCACTGAAACCCTCAGCAAGGATTTTTGCTTCTTTTTCTTTCCTTTTCTGCTGCTGATTTTTCCAAGGCCGGCTCTTCTGCAACGCTACTCACGGGAAGAGCAGGAGGAACAAGATGTGCTTCCCGGCCTCCCTCCCAGCTGCCGGCTGGCAGCTTGGGGACTTCCTGAAGAAAGGGTTTGCATCCGGACGGAAGTACCTGAATAGCCCTAATGGATCTACCTCCAGCGACAGACCTTGTCCCTCTCCAACCCATTTACATACTTGGCCTCTCTGGCATCCTGTGGTAATGAACTTGATGATTTCATGCCCTCGTTCTGTCTCCAAAGCAGGTCTGGCGTAGCACTGCTCTTGTCGATTCGCTGACTGCTTGGCAAAGAAGTCGGTTGGGTCCTCCGTAGCCGCGCGGCTTGTCTTCTCCATGCGGATCTGGAAAGGTAAAGCCTGGCTCAGTAAGTGAAGTCCCACCGGTGACCGCCCGCCGGCTGCACCGCAGAGCTCACGCCCCAGCCCAGAGCTCCGTGAAGGGCCCACGTTCCAGGTCCCTCGCTCCCGCTCTTGGACATCCGACAAAAGCGTCACCCATCGCCAACAGCAATTCTTGTTTCCTCCGTGTGAAATTAGGGGAAAAAACCCGTAGAGGAGGAGTTGAGGAAAACCGAGCTTAGGAAAGCGATGTCACCCCCGCTCTGCAGGCGCCAGGCCTTGCCCACGCGACTGCTGCCACCCCAGCACCGGGGCAGAGCTGTGGAACTGGGGGGG